TAGGGAGCGGTGCGAGCTGAGTGCCTCGAATAGCCAAAGCGACCAGAATGATCAGAGCGACGTTGACCCTCCCGTAGTAAGAGACTCCCATGAGCAAAGGGACGTTTCAATGGGTGGTAGTACCAATCAGATGCCTTCTGAGCAGTCAAGCAGCCTCAGTAACGGGTCTGTCCGAGCTGTGATGGAACCACCTCTCACGCGCACGTGCTTTGAGTCGCGGGAACAGCTCGACGCCTATTTTAAGGAGTATCAAAGGAACAGCTACCACGAATGTACTCTTCGTCATCGGACAGCTCATTTAAAGGTCGGCAGATATTTACGCTTCATTCATTTAGCTTTTACGCATTCGAACCAACAATACCTTTTTGGACCGGAATAAGAAGATACAAATAACAAAATCGAGTGCGTCGCTGATTCCGCCGGAGTGGGATAACTATTCTCAGAAGCTAATACGTACACATACTGGCGCATACAAGTCGCGAGGGCAAGGAAAACGACCACGCCAGGAAACAAGAACCGTGGGCTGCGAGGCTAATTATTTTCCCGATCAGCTGTAGCGGGAACCACTGGTGTGCAATCATCGTCAACACTGCTACCGATGAGATACAATTGTACGACCCGATGCATTCAAGCTACGTGGCAAGTATCCGGGCTGTTGCCGGGTCTCCTAAGTTCGCTTCCGGGTGGTGTGAAGCGCTACCACGAATCTAGCCTCGGCATACAAACGTATAGCTTCAGCTGCGGCGTGTACGTCCTACTTCTATTTGAAATGCTGTACGGAGCAAATACAGTGGGAGCCGCTGACAAGAAGATACTCCAATGTCTCCGATACATATATCGGTGCGTGTGCCTTCAAATACACATCACAGCGCACCTCACCAATTTAAACACCATCACAGTACGCCTCACCAATTTAAACACCATACTTGAACACTTTTTTGCTAAGTGTTTCAGTACCAACGCAAAACACCACACTTGATTTTGTTAAGACACTCGTTATTTTGCCCGAATAGGCAGCACGTGACAGAACATCCGTGCCAGAATTGACCCAACAGGCATGCCCGAATATGCCCGACTTAGCTAGAGTCGGAGGGTCATCGAATAAAGTGTCCTCGAAAGTAAACGTATAGCTGGAAGCTCATTGAGAGAGCAGAGAAGCATTTAGAGAGAAGAACACACGTGTGTGGCATTCAGACATTTTGCTATAGCATGCATAGCATCCAGGTATCCATCAAATGAAATTGTGGCGAACATCCAGCACTAGCCTGCTCTAGAAAAATGAACTAACTTGTTATCGTTTAATACACATGCACAGATATTTGTAGCGCAGATACTGAATCTACTTTTTACTCAGCAAACTAAGACATTCGGCGCCACAAAATATCTCGAAGGCTGCTAGCATGTAAATCCCACCGCTGTAGATATCGACTTGCACTCCGAGATCACTTTGGTAGGCACGGGTTCGATTATTTCTTGGGACGAAATCAGGTAGCATCGCCACCAATTCTCGGCAAGTGGTCGAATATTGGCCCTGTAACGGGGTTACTGAAAATAAATTCAGTGTGCCCCATGTTACATAAAGAGTGACCCGTCACTCTTGTGGACACCTGGTACACGGTACCAGGTGCTCTCGGAGCCAGTCAGTGCATGACTACTTAGCTCCACTAAAGGTAACCTCTAGTTTGTATGAGACCCAAGCTTATCTTACTTATAAATACATCAGTCTTAAATCTACTCTTCCTAGTAGCAAACTGTTCCCTTTGAGGCCGGGAACACGTGGACTAACGTTCACTCGGGTAAGTCATACCCTTAAGCACTTCCTCTGTGCAAGGTGCTGTGTGACCCCGTCACACTTGGTAGCACTCGTAGTCAATCCAACACCATCGCGGGAAGATTGAACTACTTGAATCCTCTGTGCGCTCAGCGTTTGAGCCAAGATGGACCGAAGCGAGTTTCCTCGCTTGAACGACTCACAGTACGAGTCTGTTCGGAAGATGGGAGGCATCTTTGGACAAGATGTCCTTCGCAGCTTGGCGCGGCGACGCCTGCCGAGCAACAAGAACGCGTGACCGCGTTTGAGACCTACGAGCGTGGTCGCATCGCTCACGTCCGCGGGAGATTGAGGGCCACGATGGCCGCTCCCCAGGCAACCTGGCCTAAGCCGGTGTGGCTGAAGGTCCCCGCGTTTGAGGGGAAGGAAGGAGAGAACCGTCACTTCTGGGTCCGTGAGGTGGAGATCGCCATGACGGCGGGTCTCATCTCGGACGAGCCAGTTCGGGTGGCGCTTGCCCTGTCTAACCTTGGTGGACGTGCCAAGCACTGGGCATACACCAGGGAGACGACATCTCCTGGATGCTTTGTATCCTGGGCTCAGCTGTGTGAGCAGCTTCGAGCCGCGTTTCTACCGGCGAACAGCGAGTTCCGCCAGCGCTCACGCTTTCTCGCGTGTAAGCAAGGTAGACGTGAGCTACAGGAGTACGCGCAAGAGATGCGCATGTTGGTGGCATCTCTGGCAGGGAATCCTCAGCCTGAATACGTCAAGACAACAGTCTTCATGGACGGCCTAAAAGTCGGTCCTGCTCGCACCCAGCTATTCCGGGTGCAAGCGACAACTATGGAGGTGGCGATTCGAATCGCCCTTCAAGAAGAGTACAGCCATAAGCAGGCTGGTACTCCTCGGGAAGCGGAACATCGCCACGGTGAGAATGGCGTTCCTCGGGAGGCAGAGCATCGAAGCAATGACGCTGTTGCTTCTGCTGTCACGCAGCCCGTTGATACCGGTGCGTACAGCGAGCCCGAACCCATAGACTTAAGCTCCGCCGAGAGCTTGGTCCGCTGCTATGGATGCGGCGGACATGGACACTACCAGCGTGTGTGTCCCTCGCTAGTCCTCGGGAAGAAGACAGCCCTGGACCCCAAGTCCGGTGGCGCAGGCCACGGCCAGGTGGACGAAGACGCCCCGGCCACCAGTAGAGGCGGTATGCCCTACTGAAGAGCGCTAAGCCTTCGTGATGAGTGTGCAGGTTGTGCGCACCGCGGGACTTGGCCCAGAGAGACGTGGCTCTCTCATACCGGTGAAGGGCAGTGATGGGCTGCTGGTAGTACACTCGGTGTACGGGGGCTCGGTACCCCTTGAACGTTTGATGAGTTCTGGGGCGTTGATAAGCCGCCAGAACGTCGCTTGGCATAGCGACATCCGACTGCACTCTATGTCAGAGTGGCGGTCGTGGGCTGGTCCTTGGTGGACTAGCCTTTGGTACGGTGAAGGAAGTACTGATGGTCCTCAACGGACCGGAACGTTTCGGCTCGATGAACTCGCGCACCGCGGTGTCGCTCGCAGTTCTCGCCATGAACAACATGGCTGTGCCGAACATAAGGCACAGCCCGGACTTTGGTGTGGCAAGGCTGAGAAGGGCCTACCAGTCCAGGTCTATGACGGAGCATTGGTGAGTCATGTTCCCATCTCCGTCATGACTATAGCGTCTGATACAGACCGCCAGAACGCAAAAGCGTCACGGGGCTGTCAACGCGCCAACAGCTCTGCGTACAGCAAGACCATGCTCCGCTGCGGCAATGCCACGGGCGTGGGTCTTTTGCCCGGCGTGTGGACCTGCTACACCAGCAGCGTCCAACGCCGAAGGTCGTCGCGCCGTACGGGCTTCGACAGTGGTTGTGCCTTTAAGCGCTAACCAGGTGGATAACTTAGGACCACACGGTCGCCCAGACCTTAACTGAAGAGGAAGGCGCTGAATGCGCTTCCTGTGTGGATAACACAGTACCACACGCAGTCGCCCAGACTATAACTGAAGAGGAAGGCATGACCATGCTTCCTGTGTGGGTAACACAGTACCACACGCAGTCGCCCAGACTATAACTGAAGAGGACGGCATTGTCCATGCTTCCTGTGTGGGTAACACAGTGCCACACGAGGTCTCGAGTGACTCTGATGTCGTCAACGAGACATTACGACATTTGTAATGAAGTGCCACGTCACGTCAGCCGCCGCAAGTCGGGTCTGAACCTTGTTCAGGCCGATGTCGCTTCAAGCGACTCGGAGTCCAGGGTCCGGACTCCTCTGACTCGGTCGGTGGACACCAACTCTGTCCGGTGTGTGTGTGCGGGTCTGCCACGCCAGCTGATCCCAACACCGAAGGTCGTCGCACCGTATGTGCTTCGACAGTGGTGGTGCCGAAGGGCATTCACCAGGTGGGTAACATAGGTCCACATTGCGGGTAACAAGTTCCGCAAGCAGCGAAGCTGCTTAAGGAGACCGACATTCGGTGCTCCGAGCGTGGGTAACAAAGTTCCACGCAAGGTCACTCAGACCATAACTGATAAGGAAGTCACTGTATGCGCTTCCGGTGTGGGTAACAGAGTTCCACACCCAAGGCGAGTAACATAGCGCCGCACACAGAGCCATTGGCTCGAGGTGCGAGGCTGTCTTGGCCTCGCCAGACGTGAGCAACTCGCTCGACGTCAAGTCGCGCAGACTCAAACTGCTGACGCGAAGGCTGGGTGCCTTCGGTCGACACGGCCGACGCGGTCGTCCATACCGACGCAGTGCACAGGGCGGAGAGCCGTTGCGCCTACCAGTGGCTATTAGAAGCCACGAGAGACTCAGATCAAATTGTAATTATTTATTTAGGTGTACGAGGTTTCTTAGATAAAATTGCTGTAGATAAAATTTCAATTTTTGAAACTAATTGGTTAAACTTTATTCAAAATAATCATTCTGATACTTTAGAAGAAATTTTAACAAAAAAAGAAATTTCAAAAGAATTAGATAAAAAAATAAATACTTTAGCTATCGATTTTACTAATAATTTTATTAATTTATTTTATTTTATTTATTTACCCTTTTTTTTTAAAGTTTATTAAGTTGGACTGTTATACCTTTAGGATTTGGTATGTTTTTTTACTGAATTAAATATAGAATAATTAGTTTTCTAAAAATTCGGAATAAATAAATTAAAGTTTTTTAACGCTAAAAGATGCAGGCCATGCAGCACGCAGCAGCGCGAGGAGACTTGGAAATGATCCAATGGCTGCTGCATTTCCAGCCTGGAGGCCTCGTAACTCGAGCTGTCGAACAGGCAGCGAGGAACGGACAGCTGCATGTCCTCACGTGGCTGAAAGAACACCACGACCACGTTTTCTGGGGTGCGAATGAACTCCAATACGCTATTGAAGGGAATCATGTCGAGGTGGCAAGATGGCTACAAGAGAACACACGACCACCTACGAAGCTTAGAGCGATGAACTCGGCTGCAGCTAATGGGAACCTCGAGCTGGTACAATGACTACATGAGGTAAGACACGAAGCTTCGTCTTCTGCTGCTGTGAAAGCAGCGAAAGGAGGATATCTGGAAATGCTCAAGTGGATGGACAAACATTCACTGTGTAAACACCAGGGATTTCCGGTGGAAGACGCAGCGGCAGGAGGCCACTTGAAGGTTGTGAAATGGCTACATAAATCCGGGGTCGGTATTGCCACTCCGCGAGCAATGAACGCAGCTGCAGCGAATGGTCATCTCGAAGTGATCAAATGGCTACATCGCAAAGGAAAATATTATTCATGTACCCATGTTGCAATGGACGATGCAGCCATGAACGGACATTTAGAAATTGTCAAATGGCTACATACTCATCGATCAGAAGGTAGCACAACAGATGCAATCGATGGCGCGGCCAGAAATGGGTACCTCGGAGTCGTACAATGGCTACATTCGAATAGAAACGAAGGATGCACGACTCGAGCCATGGACGAGGCTGCTGCTAATGGCCATCTACATACTGTGATGTGGTTAAGCAAATATAGACCAACGAGTGATCGCATCAGTAGCTCTGCCAGCAGCAGCGGCTCACGATCAAGCTCTAGAGGAAGAGGCGGGGGCTGTACCACGAATGCCATGGACGGCGCTGCTCGTGGCAATCATTTGGATGTGGTGAAGTTCCTGCATAGACATCGAGAGGAAGGATGCACAGAACGAGCCATGGATGGCGCTGCTGGCGCTGGCCACGTAACGATGCTCAAATGGCTACATGAGCATCGTAGCGAAGGCTGCACAGCTGCAGCGATGGATGAAGCAGCAGCAAATGGGTACATTGAAGTGGTGAAATGGCTACATGACAACTGTGTCGAGGGATGTACAGCACGCGCTATGGATGGAGCTGCAGCAGGCGGACACCTTCGAATTATCAGATGGCTACATATCAACAGCTCCGAAGGTTGTACCGAGGTTGCGATGGATGGAGCTGCAGCGCACGGTAAGCTCGATACACTGAAATGGCTACATAAAACCCGATCCGAGGGCTGCACCACTGCAGCTATGGACAAAGCTGCAGCTGGTGGACACTTTGAAGTGCTCTTGCTCTTACACACTAAACGCTCGGAGGGCTGCACAATGGACGCAGCAGTCAGTGCGAGTCGCAACGAGCACGTAGAGATTTTGCAGTGGTTTTTCCGCTTCTATCCGCGTATGATTCACCGCGAGAAGGTTATCGTATTTGCCAAGCGGTATAACTACTACCTCATGGATTGGCTACATCGCAATTACCAGACGTCAGGAGAGCGCACGGTGCTGGCAGAAATCAACTCGTCCTTCTACCTGACACCTCCAGAGACGGAGGAACTGACCACATAAAGCTTAAGTGACGTATTAATAAATGGAAAATATTAATAATTAGATGCTCGTCTAAGGCTGCCTGAATGAATTTACCGGTTTTGAACCAATTACCGCCATTTAATTCAATTCTTGGTATCTGACGGATTCGGTATGAGCCAGTACTACCGATATATTAGGTTCACACTGTCCTGAAACTTCAACCCTTAAGCTCACAGCTTCAAATGTTACTTATTCCCGGGTACGTGACACTTGGTCCTTCAGAAAATAAGTGATGTTGTTGTTTATTGAGGGATAGCAGCATGTATTCCAGCGGAGAGCGCACGCACAGCTCGAACTCAGTTTATTTAAATGAAATCAGCCAATCAAAGCGAGGCGACAAGAGTCCATTAGAATTATTTTATCCAGCATTAATTGTTCTTAAAGACCTCGGTCGCCAAGCGTGGACATAACGTTCCTTAAAAGACTGCTGAATTGAAAACTGATATTGACCTTGATTTCAGAAAAAAAATTACGGCGTTATTAAAGCGGTATTCACTTTGAATCATGCAAGATTTACCCTTCCCATTGCCGTTTAGAAGAGGTTGATGTAGAAAACAGATAATTAACCGCAATAAAATCGTGTTGCATATGAATCTATTTTCAACCTCATTACCATTACCATCTTAGTCTTTGTAAGATCAATGGGTGGCTTAGGGTTGCATGAAAGAAAACCCGTGGTGCTACACGTTTTCTGCCAAGCAGAATGAAACATGAGATGGAAACTCTCGATTTATAATACTTACAAACTATATAGAGATTCGAAATTCGCAGTTTTTGCTCAAACAACTAGCCGATCCCGGCGACGTGGCACATGGTGGATGGTCATTAAATACGCATAGCTCCTTTTGCGTCTTAACGTTGATTGGACAAACATCTTCTGTTTTAAAATACGACAGTGAAAACAGCTGAAAGTTTAAAAGAACGCAAAATGCCACCTTTAAGAGGTGTGTGTGAGGAGGGGGGTATCAAATAAAGAAGGGTAGGTGCATGTGAATGCTGGTTAGGTTTTTTCTGGTACGGACATCCTTAACGCGGATGATGTTTTCCTCGATATTGGCTCCGGGGTAGACCATGTCGTTGTGTTGCACTTTGTACCTGTATTCGAGAATGTATCAGTTTCGGGGGTACGATCGGAGATGTGCGGTCTTGCAAAGGAAGGCATCAGAGGACATTCCGATAAATTCCCTCCTGCTCAAGAAATAAACTGTTTAGTTGAGGGCGATCCACGTTGTGGAACAGCATACCATGAAGTGTCGGAAGTGGTATTTACCGGTGGGTTTGGCTGGGTTAAACTGTGACGACTGGTGAGAGCACGGCGCAGAGGAACAGCGACGGGGAACGAGTCGCGTGGCGAGGAGCGAAGCGGAGGAGGGCGGCGAGAGTCCAACGAAGGGGACTCGAAGGGGACTCGAAGGTAAGGCGTAGGAGGCAGTTGATGTGCCTCGAAGAAGGTAAATTGGAAAGTGAGATTGAAATGGTTAGTTGTTTGTCGGCTACGAGGAAGTGCTTGTTAGCATTCCCTTGGTATCCTGTGTAATTATATGCATTTCACTATACTAGATTCTAAGTAGTCCTTAAGTCGAATCTTGAAGTAGCGTAGTGTAGTAGTGAACCGCGGTTCATTTGAACCGGGTCAGAATTTCCATAGTGAATTCAAATGAAAAATAATGACTGTCATTGAAGTTCCATGTTTGGCAATACTCGTCCAAACATGGTGATTGCCTTCCGGTCAAGCGTGTGTCTGCCTGGCCGCTCATTGGCAACTTAAGAAGACAGTTGGCAGTCAGCAAAGACAAGTAGGAGAAAATAGAAGAAAGTAGGACGCATTGGTATCAACGTCATGGTTATCGCTGGCTGTGACGTTGGTGCGTCGTTACATCCTCCCGGACTTGACTTCTCGTTGACGCTTGTTGAAGTCGGAAACGAGAACCTTCCAATGCGACACATGGCGGATGTCTTTTTCGCGCTCCCAGGTTGCTTCGTGATCTGGCAATCCGTGCCATTTCACAAGCCATTCAGGTTTGTGATTGAATTGACGCTTGCGAAGAAGCTTTTCGATGATGTGCATCGTTGCGCGAGTGTCGTCGTCAATAATCAGTCTTGAGGCCTTTGGGATAGGACGAGTCTTAAAACACGACGGATTTTCAACGTAATGACTCAACACGTCCACATTGAACGTGGAGTTCAGACGACTCATGCTTCGCGGAAGATTCAACTTGGCCACATTCGGGTTGATCATTTTCACAATCTCGAATGGTCCAATTTTGCGAGCAGCGAGCTTAGCTCGTTTCCCATCAATGTCTTGAGTCACATGGGCGGAAGGAATGCGACGTGTATCCAGCATGACTAAGTCGCCTTCCTTGAGCGTGATCGATGATCGCTTCTTGTCATAGCACTTCTTCTGACGTTCTTGGGCTTGAAGAAGATGCTTCTTTGCCAAATCAATGATATCTTGGCGTTTGTCTTGGAACTGTTTCGCATATTCAACAAATCCACGCTGAATTTGAGTCATGGTACTGGGATTGCTCAAAGGATTCAACGGATTCCGTTCCTTGCGTCCAGTATCAACTTCAAAGGGCGACATACCGGTAGATGCGCTGACGAGAGTAGCATGAGCATACTCAATCGTTCCGAGGTTATCCGACCTATCACGTCCGTGGTACGATATCATGCAGCGTAGAGCGTCTTCCAGAATCAGATTCTGGCGTTCGGTTTGCCCATCGGCTTGGGCACGATAGGAAGTTGTCAAGTGCAGACCAATTGCCATTAGCTTAGCCAAGGATGACCAGAACTTGGAAACGAACTTGGAATCTCCATCGCTGATGATGATCGATAGTAAACCGTGATGGCGAGCAACGCAATAAAAAAAAGTTATACGCAGTCTTCTGTACACCATCAGTTCGGTTGCACGCACGATACTTCGGGCGCTTGGACAACTTGTCGACAATAGTCAAGGTTGCATCGAAACCATTAGAATCAGGCAACCCAGTGATAAAGTCCATAGAGACGACAGACCAGCATTCCTCAGGAATCGGAATAAGAATCATCTTGCCATTCTTGCGAGCATTGCTGTGTTTCCAGAGAGTGCAAGTTTCACAACGTTGCACATAATCGCGAACGGCTTGGTCCAAGGTGGGTCAATGATACCATTGCGAAATGCGAAGGTACGCTCGATGAGCTCCAATATGAGCAGCAATATTGGAGTCATGGAAGCAAGAGATGATGGAAGTTCGAAGATGATTGTCCCGAGTAAACGGAGCACACAAACGCATCATCGTCTGAGACTTGCGGAAAAGTAAACCATTTTGTTTGACAAATGGTTGTTCCGGATGCTTAAAACGATCTCCGTAGTCTGGGCAATGCGATATCCAGCAGCGAACTCTCTGCTAACCGAATCAGACCAACCGAGCGAGCTCCAATTTTGAGCTTCTTGGGTCACATTGGTGGCCACAACCATATTCTCAGCCGCAGCGACGGTACGTGGAGTTTCCACTGGTACATGTCGATAAGCTTGAGTTAAGGTCGGAACAGGGCGCGTGTAGTAACCAGCAGCAACATCCTCCCCACGAAATTGAGGGCGAGAGGGTGGTCGAACCAAATGTTGGTTAAGACTGCGGTAGTCGGTAATAACGCGTCGATTCGTCAGGTTTCGAGCTGCACGGGTGTGGCAGCGCGTGGTACACTGATGAACCGAAGCCGTATTGATCGCATGCTCCGAAGATTGACGCGACAACGCATCGGCAACCACATTGAGGTGTCCCTTAACGTGATGCTACTTGAGCGTAAACTGTGCGAAAAACGTCAAATAGCGAGCTAATTTCGCTGAAACCTTCGGGTGGTGCAAAAACCATTTGCAAGCAGTGTTGTCCGTGTAGATATCAAATTCACGACCATATAGGTAGTGACGCCACTTGTCTAACACTAATTGAATAGCGAAGAGTTCTTTCTCGTGTGTTGGCCAATTAATTTCGTGAGGACCAAGTTTCTTCAAGAAGAAGGCTATCGGATGATCTTGACCGGAACGAACTTGAGAGATAACGCCACCAACACAGTAGCCAGAGGCATCTGTTGTCACGATAAAACGTTTCTCGTAATCCGGTAACTGCAACACGGGTGCTTCTTGAAGAGCAGATTTGATTTCCTCAAACGAACGCGTCTGTTCTGGACCCCAGCTCCAGACATGTTCTTTCTTGACAAGAGAACCAAGAGGCAACGCAATAATGGCGTAATCACGGATAAAGCGACGGTAATAACCTGCGCGACCCAAAAAGCTTTGTAGTTGCTTTTGGTTTCGTGGCTTTGGCCACTTTGCAATCGCTTCAGTCTTGCAAGTATCAACAGCAAGTCCATTGGCAGAAATCGTATGGCCGAGAAACTTAGCTTCGGACTGACCAAAGTGACACTTCGAGAGATAACAGAACAAATTCGCACGACGTAGAACCTTGAAGAGGGTTTGAAGATGCTCAACATGCTCTTCCAGACTGGTGGAAAAGACACAAATGTCATCCAAGTAGACAACAATGAATCGGTACTTCGCAAAGAGTACCCTCATGAGGCGAGACCAAACACCAGGCATACCGGCCAATCCCATAGGAGCTACACACCACTGGTAAGTTTCAGCGTGCGTGCGAAAGGCGGTAAACTTGCGACTCTTGAGCGCGATACGCATCTGGTGATATCCTTGAGCCAAATCTAGAACTGAAAAGATGACACAACCAGACATCTGATCGAAGAGTTCGTCGATGCGAGGTAGTGGAATCTTTGGAACAATCGACTGCGAGTTCACATATTGATAGTCGATGACCCAACGGATAGGCAAAGTCGAGTTTTCAGAGCGTACCCACTCAGAGCGAGACAGCTGATGTCCAGAAGTAGAATCTTTCTTTGGAATCCCAAAGATGTTGGACACCCAAGGAGAATCAGAAACTTCGATCCATCCTTTCTTCAGCTTCTCTGCAACGAAGAGATCCAGTGCATCC